CTTAGATATTATTTTGACTTCCCTATCATTTGAATTTATTTTTCTAAAGAGGATGTTTCTGGGAGTTACCTGGTTAGTGGTTAGGATTCTTAGTCTTCACTGCTATGGCCCGGGTTCAATCCTTGATTGGGAAATGGAGCCCACAGGCCACACGACGCAGACAAAAATAAATAGGATCTTTTCATAACGAAGTAAGTTTATTGAATGAATTGAATAGAAACTCATCTTGATAAAGTATAGGTTCAATTAAGAATGTTTCCAATTTATGATTTTCACATCTTGGTTTTTTGAAAAGGTATTATTGTTTATTAGCATTCTAGGAATAGAAATGGTAGATTTTAACTTGTTGCCATTGGTTATTATGCATTGGTGAAAAATGCATCTAGAAGGTGATTTCTTTGGTCTGCTCAGACTGTTTTTGGGATTGCCATGAGCTTGCATGTACTTAAGATACACCTAAAAATATTGAGGTCATTTTATTTAAAAAACAGCTTCTATTTGAGTATTGAAAGCGATGGCTGTGTCTGTCTTAAGTTCATCTTTGAACTGTAGCCAAATGGTTAGGAGTCTGTGATGAACTGGGTGGTCAAGTTTCCTTTTTAGTATGTAAAGACAGTTAAGGGAATTAGACTCCGAGTAGAGGAAAACTGTCCAGACGTTGTAGCCACCAACATCTGCACCTTTCTACTGACCAGAGTAACCGGCATTCTGAACATTACCACTTAAAACTAACTTTTCTCTTTAAGGGCTCCTGAAATTGTGCCAGCTGACTCCAAGTCCACCCTGACCCCACAGCATAAAGCATGCTGTGATGTCACAGCTACCATAGAACTCCAGGGTAGTGTTGAGCTGGCCCATGTGGGCTCAGGTAAGTCCTGGCTTTTTTTTTACCATTTGGCATTCTTTTCAAAGTTAGTTACCATTATGATTTTATGTCAAAAGAAACAAGGCAAAACTTTGAAAACTGTGCCATATATGGGGGAAAAAATAAGTCTGTTTTCTAAATATCTATGAGCCAGCTCCATATTCTAACCAACGGAGTTCCATAGTAGCTGTGAAGTCCTCCGTGAGTTGTGACCTGTGACTTCAAAATATGTTAAATTCTTCTCCTGCCCCACCTTATGGAACAGTATGAGTTGTTTTTTTTTTCTTTTTTTATTTCACTTTTTCCAAGGTCTCTATGTTTTTAAAAGTATTTTAACTTTATCAGTAACTGCACCACCACTTAGCTAGTTGTGTGTTTCAATCAATTTTGAATGCGTAATGGTATGGCCGATTAGTTTTATAAAGTTAATCTTCTCAGAGTGCCTTCAGCTGTCTTTTTAATTGGTTTTCATAACATGGGCTTCCCTGGTGGCTCAGAAGGTAAAGAATCTGCCTGCAGTGCAGGAGACCTGGGTTCAGTCCCTGGGTTGGAAAGATCTCCTGGAGGAGGAGTGATTATCCACTCCAGTACTCTTGCCTGGAGAATTTTATGGACAGAGGAGCCTGGTGGGCTACAGTCCATGACGTCACAGAGTCAGACACAACTGAGTGACTAATGCTTTCACTTTCACTTGGAGTAGGAGGGGACACAGCATGTAATATGTGTTCGTTAAATTTTCAGACCAACATATTACAGAGAAAGAAGCTTCCGTTAACTGTTGGAGTTAATGTGAGATGTCAGTAACCTAGAAAGCTTGTATATGTTACCTATTTCTCTGCTGCTGGAACTTTCCCATTTTTTCCTGGCCTTTGTTGCATTAAGTGAGGTTTTACCACTTAGATTTATTTACTGTATTTTCCTACCTACCACTTCTTTTACCTTTTTCCTGCTTTCCTTTTATTCCCTAATGTTAAAAGGTGGTAAAAATGTTATCTGAAGGCCTCAAAAGACATTTTCTTAGTTACTTTGCATATAATCTGATGCTTTTTTCTCCCTAAGAAAATATGTGGTAGCTAAAACTTAAATTATATCAGTATAGGCCAGATCCTTTAGACACCATGTTTACAGTGAAAACCCATCTGTGACGAAACTAGCTCCTCTTGAGCAGTGTGTAAGTGATATACAACAAACATTTGGACAGTTCATTGACATTCTCTTGAAATTTGATTTGTAGTAAATTTACTGATCTTTTGTAGCCCAGAATTTACCAGTAACTGAAACTGTGAACTCTTAATTATGGTTAATGAAAAGAATGGAATTATGTATTCCTACAATATTAGACAGTGAAGTATTTTTCTTTTAAATATTATTTTGTCCCTGTAATTGAATTTGTGTTTTTTTGTGTTCTGAAAAGTTTGGAGATTTATTTTATGCTGTGAAGAATAGAGAACAAGATCTCTGTTCACCTTCATTTTCTGCCCTCCTGTGTATGTTCCCTGCTAAGGGCAGCAGCATTTCCTATTTGCAGTTTAATGCAGAGCTTGTGGTCAGGGGAAGTGATTGTTTTTGAGATCTTGGATTAGGCCAAATAGAAATTCGGTTTTTATGTATGTATGTCAGGTTTATTGAGATGTAATTCACATACCATGCAGTTCATCATTTGAAGTCCTTTTTTGATAAAATACACGAAGTTTGAAGGCAGACTGTAAGTCATAATTCCAAAGCACAACTGCTGAGTTTGTTGTGCTGTTTGGACTGTACCCCTCCCCACCTTTGACTGGCTAGTTAGTTTCTAGTTACAGAAATCCCTCAGAAACAGAGAGGAAATGAATTCTTGAGCAAGTATTTCTGAGGTGAGATCCTTCCAGACATCAGCTGTGTGATGAAGTAACTAAAAATAGCGAAGACAGCAATTTAGAAGATCTCCTCTTCTCCAACCAAAAAAGCCTAGTTTTTGTGCTTTTTTGGCCTCTACTTTTAGATTACCTCATCTTTGGGAAACAAAAAAATATGTGTGTATATATACACACACACACAACACACTATCTCTTATGCATATGCATGTACTGTCTAGGTCTTCCTCTTTTATCTTTTCAGGTAAATTGATCAGACTTTTTGGTCCTTTTGTTGCTTTTGAAAGTGCTTAGAACATTTTTTATATCATACAAAATTTTATAGATGCATATAATTTTAGGTTGAAGCTAAAAACTAAAAGGTACAGTGATACTGCACCTTGGAGTAGTTAATAGCTTTGCTAGAGCTGAAGTGAAAAGTTGTTGCCTTCGTAGGAAGTAGTGTATACATGAAAAGAAATGGAACAGGGCATGTTCAGTTTTAAAAAAAGCTGCATTAAATTATTCAAAATGTTATGAACCCTACTAGATTATTCTCGTCTGTTCATTAAAACAGGTAGATTTTAGATTTCTGTGTCTGATCTCCAGGCTTGCGCTTTTGAGAAGTCCACCTCCTTTTATCTCATGCCAGCCACATTACGTTTCAGCTCTGATGACGTCTCCAAGGCGCTGTGCCTCATAAGGTTTTGTTGAAGTCCTTTATGTATTGGAGTGGGGGCTACAGCTGTCCTGAGGTGTTTATGTCGAGGAATGTATTAACCTATGTTGCTGTGAGATAAAAATTTATCTAGGAAGGTATTATCATTTGAAAGCATGGGTTTTTAACCTGAAAAATGTTGTGTTTCAGGGATTGGGGTCATCTTTCTGGGGAGAGGATCTAGTTTTGCAGAAGGGATCTTTGATCCCAGAGTTGGAAAACTTTGAAGCTGTCTTTTTATGGCTCACAAATATGATGAAGGGCTGTTTTGAGTATAGGAATCAGGTTTTTACATTTCTCACATTGCCTGGCATATTGCTCTGTGTGTCGTGGGCATTCAGTGAATGTGGGAAATATCATTTTAAAGCTTTGTTATTTTCAATAACGGGAGATTGTTGCATTGAACCAGTCTATTACACTTTAAGGAATAAGTCTTATTTATTTTATTCCTAATTCAAGATAACTGTTTAAAATGCAAGTATACTAAGAATATTTTTAGCTAGTAGTAGCATTTCATGTAACAAATTTCTCTTGATATAATTTAGGAAACAGTTATCTAGTCCTGCAGTCTTGGGGTGTGTGTATGTGTGTGTACCACTATTTGTGGTAAATGTGAAGCTAACTGCACCTTCAGTTTTTTGCAAGGTTATTTGCTTATTATTCACTGATGTCCTGTACTTACTAAATAAGATTTCTATTATTACCTAACATTAATTTGTGTTAAGAATAATAACAAGGTTTAATGGGAACAGAAAGTTCTTTATGGATTTGGAAAAATTGGAAGCTTGTTTTGTACCTCTACCCCCAGCTGGTTTATTGCATTTTGTTTTAGCATATTTCTATTCAAAATTACCTAGCTCAAGTTTTGCTGTATTAATAATTTAATAATTCTTAATGGGTATAAGGAAGACTTGACTGTGAGAAATTCTCAAATCAGAGTATTGCTAACTTTTACTTACATTAAACATTTATTTTAACTGCTCTTAATTGTCTCAGTTAACAGCAATGTGGAAGGAAGGCTCAGCATTTACTTTGATTCAACTTTAAAAATGCAGCATAGGGACACCCCTGGTGGTCCAGTGGTTAGGATTTGGTGCTTTTACTGCTGTGGACCGGGGTTTGATCCCTGGAGGGGAACTAAGGTCCTGCAAAGCCACTCAGCGCAGCCATAAGAAGGGAGGGGGGGGGCAGAATAAAGGGCAGAACTTGCCCAACAGCAGCAGCAGGCACATGCTTGTCTCCTTGGTTTCTGCAGAACCAGGACCAGCACACAGGGGCTTTAATGTCTTCACAGTAGATGGTTGATCTTTGATCCTCTTAATATATTCTAATAATTTCTCTAAACTTTACCAGAGCATGGAGCCACTAATGGGATGGTAAGTGTCCAGCTAGGCAGTTTAGATCTGGAAGGAAATGAAAGGGAAAGGAATACACTGTAATTTTCTTTGTATTCTTTAGGACATTTGAATGATGCCCTGGGATCCAGGAAGCACAGAGAATCAGAGTTTTGAGTGACTGCTACAGGCTTGTGCTTTTTGAAGAAAAATAGAATTAAACTTGTTTTCTGTCCTGATGCTTGTTTTAGGTGTTGTAGAAGGTGATTTAGCTGCTATCGAAGCTTACAAATCGTCGGGAGGGGACATCGCCCGCCAGCTCACTGCAGATGAAGTCCGCTTGCTGAATCGCCCTTCTGCTTTCGATGTTGGCTATACTCTGGTACATCTGGCTATACGTTTTCAGAGGCAGGATATGCTAGCAATATTGCTTACAGAGGTGAGTGTGGCATTCTGATTATTCCTTTATATGAAGGAAATGTGTTCTTTAGTTTTCATTTTTGATGTTTTAATATTTCTCAGTTCTTAAATGTTTTAGATTTGATCAGCCCTCTTTTAAAAATGACATTTAAAATTAAGAGACTTTACCAGAAGCGATATGTGTTTTTTAAAACAGGACATTTTGCCACAATGATTGAGTCATATGTTTGATTTTGAAAAAACCGAAATGTATTAGTAATTCATTCAGCTAACAGATATTTACTGAGTACCTACCATGTTGAAGGCACTGGGCATAAAGGGGTGTAATGGTGAAGACATTCGCTCCTCCGTCAGTGAATCTCCAGTTACAGTGATTCTGTACAGAGTGCAGTTTCATAGATACAAGTGCCAGCTGCTGTGGGGAGGACTTCAGAAAGTGTTTTGCACTATCTTACTTACCTTCTTACCCACAGCAGGTAACGTTTAAGCTGAGATCTGGAGGAGTAGGATGAGTTAGCTTCAGAATAGGTAGAGATGAGAAAGGCATTGAGGAAGCTATTCAGAGGCAGGGGTGGTGGTGTTTGTGTTGAATTCAGAGCTGGTGGGTAGCTCAGTGTGGTTGTATGGCGGATGGGAAGTGAGAGACAAGTAGGGGATGCAGTGTGAAGGATCTTCTAGGCCAAAGAATTGGAAGGTTATTCTGAGGGCAGTTAAAGGCTTTGAAAAGGGTTAGGCAGAGGGACAGCAGAGTGACAAGGTCAGAGTGTTTTGGCTGCTGGAATTAGAGAGGGGTAGACCTGGTTAGGACGCTGCAGTGATGCTGGCAGGAATTCTGTTGGGACAGTAATGGCAGTGGCTGGCGTGAGGGAGATGCTGAAGATGCTAGCAGAATTAAGTGGGTGGATTGGCTGTGGGGAGTAATGGTGGGTAGGGGTCAAAATGGCATCTGGGTTTTTAGAGTAGATAACCTGGTAGATGTTACAGGTAACAGGTTGGAGTGAATAATTAGGATGTGACTGTATCATCCAGGTAATTTTTTTTTTTAATAAGAGAAATAGGGTAAAAGTGCAGAGTGTTCGATTAGTTGTGGATTCAAATCCATTATGGTCAGTATATGCCTTCTGTATATGCTTGTTTGCATATTTGAACTCTCCAGTACCTGGAAGCTTTTAGGCACAAAGCATAAAGTGGGAGGAGTGGTTAAGAAATATGAATGTTAGGTAGAAGCATGATTGAGATGGCTTGCCATTGTGTTTAGTTTGCCTAAGAGTCCAGTTAAACCAGGGGCAAGATAGGGCTTGAGAGACAGTCTTGGCTGAAAACAAAGGGCAGGCTTACTGAAGATTGGGCTTCCCTGGTGGCTCAGGTGGTAACGAATCTGCCTTTAATGCAGGAGACCTGACTTGGATCCCCAGGTTGGGAAGACTTCCTGGAGAAGGGCATGGCAACCCACTCCAGTATTCTTGCTTGGAGAATCCCATGGACAGAGGATCCTGGCGGGCTATAGTCCATGGGGTCACAAACAGTCAGACACGACTTAGTGACTAACACGCTTACGGAGGATAAGGGAGAAGGGGACTGTTTGAAAGGCGGCTCTGTGATTAGAGAGACTAGTGTTCTGGAACATGGGATGGAACAGTTCGAGGTAGTTTCTGTAGTGTGCTGAGGTCTGGCTATACTTGTGTTGTGACACCCAGTTGTGTATCAGACGGGACGGCGTGTGGAGTTATAGTCGCTGGTGGTGGCTGGAGACGAGAAGAAGGCAGCTATGAACCAAGATGCAGGTCTTCAGTGGTGTGCTTCCCGGGTGGCTCAGTGGTAAAGAATCCGCCTGCCGATGCAGGAAACGTGGATTTGAGCCCTGGGTCGGGAAGATCCCCTGGAGAAGGAAATGGCAACCCATTCCAGTATTCTTGCCTGAGGAATCCCATGGACAGAGGAGCCTGGCAGGCTTCAGTCCGTGGGGTCCCAAGAAGTCGGACACAGCTTGGCGACTAAGCAGCAACAGCAGCGGGTTGCACTCCGGCTGGCAGAGGGCTCTGAGGAGGCTCTGGGGGGCTGCTGCAAGCCATCAGCCTCCCGAGAGCATTCTGAGGACTAACAGTGGGAAGACAGTAGGACCCCAGTGTATTTATTTACAGCTGGGTAACAAATCCTCTCAAAGCTTAGCAGCTTACGACAACAAACACTAGTTATCACGGTTTCTGAGAGTAAGGAATCCAGGAGCAGCTTAGCTGAATGATCTTGGCTCAAGGTCCCTTGAGGTTCCAGACTGCCAGGGCTACTGTTGTCAAGAGCCTCGACTGGGGTTAGAGGCTGTGGTTCTTAGTACACTCACATGGGTGTTGGCAGGAGGCTTCAGGTCCTTGTCCCGTGGACCTGTCCATAGGGCTGCGTCTCATGTGCTGGCTTGTCTCTCCTTGAGCAAGTGAGCCGAGAGAGTGTGAGGAAGAGAGAGGAAGAAGTGTGAGAGAGTGAGTGAGGTGGAAACCGCAGTGTCTTTTCTGTATAGCCTAATGTAGGAAGTGATACTCCATCATTTCTGCCATATTCTGCGGGACACATGGACCAGCCCTGGCACACCATGAGGGAGGTGGAAAGGACGCTCGTTCTAGGGAAAGAACTGAATCGGTGGTGGAATTTAGTCTCTGTGGCATGGGCACTCCACAGGACAGAAGCCAAGGGCCCAGCAGGGAGAGCATGAGTCTGTGCTGAGGGCTGAGTCTGCAGACAGGGCACAGAGCTAGCCAGGGACTTCAGAGATGAGACCAGGAGAGCGTTACATTTTGGGAATGTGTGTCTGGGGCTAGGGGCTTACTTAATTGGACTTTAAACCATGATCCCTGTATGTAGTCTGGTGGAATAAATGGACTTCAAACTGTTGTTTTTAAATATATAAAATAGAAAGCAGGTTTGCAAAGGAAATTAGTTAACATTGAAATATGTAGTTGTTAGAATATTTGTGATGTATAAGAACATGCATTTTAAATGTAGGCAAGTGAAATGAGAGATTTAAATTTAATTGAACTTCCTGTTCTAGTTCATGGACCCTTCCCAAGTTCATGGGCCCTAAATTAGCTAGTAGGCTAAGGAGCTGACGGAGAGTCATGAGGCTGAAGAGGCTAGAAGATGAGGGGCAGGCTTCAGGGGCATGTGCTTAAGGATGATGGCGGGAGGAGAGGGTTAGCAGTGAGTCACTAGCTGTAAGGTTTCTTTTGGGGTGTTCAGTGTTCAAAATCTCCCTGGGATTTTGCAAAGGGGCTGAGGGTTAGCAGTTTTGAAAAAGCTATTTTTTAGTTTACTTTTGAGATCTACTTTAATGCTGTTACTTGAGAAATAGTTATATTCTGAAAATACTTCATACTTTTCCAGGTTGTTGCTTAGGTTGGGCTCGTGGAGTTCAGGTGTGGTGACAACTTCACCGTCAGTGTTATTCCTGGCCAGTAACATTTAGAACTGAATTTTCATGCAGGCATTTTCCAAAGGGGATGTCTGATGGTCGTGATGGGTATGCAGGGTGTTCGCAACACTGTTTACTTACCTACGTAGTAATTACAATTAAGTGTGTCCGTGTATGTTATGTAGATGAGAGTAGCATAAAACTGTGTGTGTGGCTTTACTGGGAGACCTGCTGCTCCACACCCCACCTGTGACTGACGTCTGCTCAGGAAGGTGGCTCAGGTTAGTGGCTGCTGCTGCAGTGACGGAGTGGAGGGTCATAGCACACTCATTTCCTCTCGAGTAGGTGGACGCTTGCCTTGGGTTTCAGAATTCTCTGTGTATAGATTTCTTGAACGCCACAGAGGAATACAACTTAAATGTAAGATAATGTCTTTTCATCCTTTGCTGCTGTTCATCATTTTAAAAGGACAGGAGCGTTCTTGCTTGGGTTTCATTCCTGTTGAATTGTACTACTGCAGAGCTTTGTTGTCCGCTCTACACTCGGGAAAGCCAGATGCTTCTAAAAAAGTACAAAATTACAGGGACTTCCCTGGTGGTCCAGTGGCTGAGACACTTTGACTGCAAGCGGTGTGAGTTTGATCCCTGGTTGGGGAACTAAGATCCCGAATGCAGCTTGGAATGGCCAAAAAATAGAAGAAGAAGAAAAGACTTATAGCAAGTGGGGAGGGATTTAAGGTCATTGGGAACTAAACCTTTAAAAATGTCATGCTGTCTTTAAGTCCACGTACTTGAAGTAATTTCTTATACAGCAGGAGTTTCTACTTTGCTCTGTCTCTGTGAGCCGGAATTCCCTGTTTAAGAATGTTTTTGTTAGGGTCCTGGTGGTTATTCTTACTTTGTTTTCTGTCCTCATTCCCCCTCCTGTGATGAACCTTTGTGAACAACTCTGTTTCACATACATTTTTATATGCTTGTTTGTTATTTCCTTGGGATAAACGCCACTAAAAAGTAGAATTACTGAATCGAGAGGGTAAAGCATTTTTATCACTATTTTCCAGGAAAGTTGTACCGATATATACTCCTACTGTTGAGGACATAACGCCAATATTTCATATATTTAAAACAAAAACACCTTAAGTTACTGGAAAGTTTTGGTAATTTCTTTTTAATGCTGTTGATTTCTGCTTCCAATGGTGAATGAGATGTAGAGGAAAGTTTCTTTTGTATTTAAGGTGTCTCAACAAGCTGCAAAGTGTATTCCTGCAATGGTGTGTCCTGAACTGACAGAACAGATCCGTCGTGAGATCGCTGCTTCTCTTCACCAGAGAAAGGGGGACTTTGCTTGCTATTTCCTAACTGACCTTGTTACATTTACATTGCCAGCAGGTAACTCCACATCTCTTTGTGAAAACAAATTTCCACTTTATTATATTCTTTCAATGTCTGAATGAAAATGATCTGTTAGAAAACAGATAGCCACAATTAGTAGATAGTAGCTATCTTACAGCTATAACTTGAGTATCCTGTTTTACTGAAAGTAGTCAATATATAGTCCATTTATAAACTAATGCTATAGAGTTGAGAGGAAGACAGCAGCTGGTAATAACTGACTTCTTTGTGGGCCTCAGATATGTTTAAAAATCTGTTTATCCATTTCTTTTTCTCTTTGAGAGTGTTAATGAATCAGCTTTTTTCTTTTTCTTTTCACTTGTGTTTATTATTTTTAAATTAGATAACTATTGGTTACCTGATATTAGGAGACAAGATCAGAACATGGGTTTTTGATGGGTAGATACAAATTATTTAAATCAAAGATACCGGCATTCTTTTGGAAGTGTCATTACTTTACTTCACTCATTATGTTAATTTCTACTATATTTGTGAAGCAACTTTTTATTTTCCAGTTCCATGACAAGTGGAAATGTTTTCCAGGTTGTTTTTCCTCAATTGACACTGAGTAAATATACTGAACACTTAAAAGTTTCTAAGTAAAACTTACATTTTGTTTTGGGTGTTCCTAGCCTTCTATTTTAAGCTTATATTAAGATGTGAGCAGAGATATTTACAAAATCAGACAAATTTCATTTCATATGCACTCTATATATTTAACCTTACTACACTGAGTGATTAGATTTTCTTTTGAATTGAAAATAGTTCTGTAGTTTAAAAAAATGTTGTAAGGGTAATCATGCTTTTTATTCTAGACTACTCAATTAGTAAACCGAATTAGAGCATAGAGTATTTCAGGAAGGTGAGAAAAACAGAAGTTTGTGTGCCAAAATGAATGGTTCATTGACTATCATAAGATTCTTAAGTCTGCAAAAACAGTTCTGAGCAGAGATTCAGTGTTAGGGGGCGGGGGTGGGCAGAAAACAGACAAAATTTGTTTGTTGTTATTTTGAGTATCAGAGACCTCTGTTCTGTGTTTTTTTTTTCTTCTTTCCCCCCTTTTATTTCATCTTTATTAAGTTTTCATTAACATAGAAAATTGTAAGATTTTAAGATACACATTGTGGTGATTTGGGGCTTCCCTGATAGCTCAGTTGGGAAAGAATCTGCCTGCAATGCAGGAGACCCCAGTTCGATTCCTGGGTTGGGAATATCCCCTGGAGAAGGGATAGGTAACCCACTCCAGTATTCTTGGGCTTCTCTTGTGGCTTGGCTGGTAAAGAATCTGCCTGCAGTGTGGGAGGCAGGTTTGATCCCTGCATTAGGAAGATCCCCTGGAGAAGGGAAAGGCTGCCCACTCCAGTATTCTGGCCTGGAGAATTCCATGGTGATTTGGTAAAGAATCTGCCTGCAGTGTGGGAGATCTAGGTTTGATCCCTGCATTAGGAAGATCCCCTGGAGAAGGGAAAGGCTGCCCACTCCAGTATTCTGGCCTGGAGAATTCCATGGTGATTTGATTCACACATAAATTGTGAAAGGATCCCTCCCCCAATTAGTTAACACACTTATTACCTCACACTGTATTTATCTGTTTATATTTTGGGTGAAAACATTTATGTTTTGTTCTCTTAGAGAATTTCAAGTGTATAATACAGTGTTACTGATTATTGTCACTATGCTTCACATTAATTCCTATCCTTGTTCATCTTATGGCTTATAGTTTGTACTTTCACTAGTTTCTCCCTATCTTTTTTTTCTTTTTAAGATCTATATATAAGTGATGCCAAGCAGTATTTGTCTTCCTCTGTTGAACTTATTTCGCTTAGCATAACATCTCCTGAGGCCCTTCTATATTGCAAATGGCACGATTTTTTCTTTCTCATGGCTTAGTAACCCGTCTACTTTATATTTATTCACCCATTGGTAGACACTTAGGTTGTTTTCATATGCTGGCTATTTTGAGTAACATTGCTGCTAGCATGGGGGTGGGTACAGGTTTGTCATTTCCATTGTCTGTATACCCAGAAGTGAGTTTGCTGGATCATATGATAGTTTTATGTTTTTGAGGATCCTCCATAGCATTTTCCATAGTGGCTTCTCCAGTTTACATTCCCACCAATGGTGCGCAGGGGTTCCCCTTTCTCTGCATTGTTGTCAGTATTTGTTATCTCTTGTCTTTTTGATAATAGCTGATTATTATTACTGGTTCAGATGCTTTTCTTACTGTTTGTAGATAGATCACTGTTTTGACAATGAAGTACAGAAAGGAAATATTCTGCACCTCATATTCAAAACTCATGAGATACATGCATATTTTTTAAAGGATGCTACTTGACAGTCTGCAGTGGAAAGGAAGTTATTTTAGAGGAAGTTACTGTTCGATATTGGCATCAAGTTTTTTAAGTTATGAGGCATTTAAAGATTTTTTTAAATAAGGTTTTTCTTTGTAGATATTGAAGACTTGCCTCCAACAGTCCAAGAGAAATTATTTGATGAGGTGCTTGATAGAGATGTTCAGAAAGGTAAGCATGAAACTAATGAGTATAATTTAATTTTTAGTGATTTCAGTAAACGTTTTGCTCTGCTTTGTAAGCTTTGTAGTAGTTTGGTGTATAGTCATCATATTTTATTTCTACTTTAAACTGAAAATGTATAAAGTCCTTAAGAACAGTATTGTATTATGTTGTTAAAACAGCTCATTCATTCACAGCTCATAATTGTGCTAGAGTGAATAAACGTATGAAAGTTTTAAAATCTTGGTTTTGTGTTTCCTATTCTAGGATGAGTATTTTTTCATAGTAAACATTTTAAGAAAATAAATTACAAAGAATTTAAAAAATAAGTTATTCTAGGGCCTCAAGATGTTTCCATTACTTAAAAGGTTTATATTTCAATTGATCAAAATTTCTAGCTGTTTATTAGTATATTGCATATACATTTTTTAACATTTTAGAGAATAGTTTCTTCCAAGGGCTTCCCTGGTGGCTCAGTTGGTAAAGCGTCTGCCTGCAATGTGGGAGACCCGGGTTCAATCCCTGGGTCGGGAAGATCCCCTGAAGAACGAAATGGTAACCCACTCCAGTATTCTTGCCTGGAAAATTCCGTGGACTGAGGAGCCTGGTAGGCTACAGTCCATGGTGTCGCAAAGAGTTGGACATGACTGAATGACTTCACTTTCTTTCTTCCAAATAGAATATTTCTAAATTGCAGAAGAATGAAACTAAACATATTTATTTACTTACTTGCATATTTATTTATATTGAAGTATAGTTGATTTACAATATTGTGTTAATTTCTGCTATATAGCAAAGTGATTCTGTTATACTTCAATATATGTTCTTTTTTATATTCTTTTCCGTTATGGTTTATCACAAGATAATTGAATAAGTTCCCTATGCTATATAATGGGATCTTGTTTATCTGTTCTATATATACTAGTTTCCATCTGCTAACCCCAAACTTCCACTCTATCCCCCCACCAGTCTTGCCAACCACAAGTCTATTCTCTATGTCTGTGAATCTGTTTCCTGAATAATTTCATTTGTGTCATATTTTAGATTCTGCATTCTAAGTGATATCAAATGGTATTTGTCTTTCTGACTTCACTTAGTATGATAATCTCTAGGCCATCCATGTAGCGGCAAATGGCATTATTTCATTCTTTTTTATGACTGAGTAGTATTCCATTGTATATATGTACCGCATGTTTTTATCCATTCATCTGTCAAGGGACATTTAGGTTGTTTTCATGTCTTGGCTATTGTGAATAGTGTTGCTATGAACATAGGAGGAGCGTTTGTTTATTTGAATTACAGTTTTGTCCAGGTATATGCCCAGGAGTGGGAATGCTGAATCATATGGCAGCTCTGTTTTTTTTAGTTTTTTCAAGAACCTCCATACTGTTTTCCATAGTGGCTGCACCAGTAGTGCACGAGGGTGTTCCCTTTTCTCCACACTCTCTCCACCATTTGTATTTGTATATGTTTTAATGATTGTCACTCGGACCATGTGAGGTGGTATCTCATTATAGTTTTGATTTGCATAATTCTAGTAATTAGCGTTGTTAAGCATCTTTTCATGTGCCTTTTGGACATCTGTATGTCTTTGGAGAAATGCCTGGTTAGGTCTTTTTGCCCATTTTTTGGTTGGGTGGTTTTTCTGTGGTTGTGTTACATGAGAGCTGTTTGTATGTTTTAGAAGTTAAGCCCTTTTTTGGTTGCATTGTTTGCAGATATTTTCTCCCTTCTGTACATTGTCATGTCTTTTTGTTGATGGTGTCCTTTGCTGTGCAAAAGCTTTTAAGTTTGATTAGGTCCCATTTGTTTATTTTGCTTTTTTCTATTGCCTTGGAAGACTGACCTAAGAAAACATTAGTACAGTTTATGTCAGAATGTTTTGCCTTTGTTCTTCTCTAGGAGTTTTCTGATGTCATGTGTTTAAATCTTTTAAGTCATTTTGAGCGTATTTTTGTATTTGATGTGAAGATTGTTCTAACTTTATTGATTTACATGAAGCTGTCCAACACCGCTTGTTGAAGAGGCTTTTTTCCTGTATATTCTTACCTCCTTTGTTGAAGTTTAATTGACCGTAGGTGTGTGAGTTTATTTCTGGGCTCTCTGTTTTGTTCCGTTGAGCCATGTGTCTTTTTTTGTGTGAATACCATGCTGTTTTGATTACTGTAGCTGTATAGTCTTATCTGAAGTTTGGGAGGGTTGGACCTCCTACTTTGTTCTTTTTTAAAGTTTTATTTATTTTTTTATTTCTTGGCTGTACTGAGTCTTGGTTGCTGTTCGGGCTTTTCTCTGTTGGAGAGCAGGGGCTCCTCTAGTTGCGTTGTGTGCACTTGTTGGGGTGCTTTCTCTCGTTGTGGAGCATGGGCTCTGGTTGTGGCATGTGGGCTCAGTAGTTGTAGCTCCTGGTCTTTAGAGCACAGACATGCTCAATAGTTGTGGTGCACGGACTTAGTTGCTCCATGGCATGTGGGATCTTCCCAGATCAGAGCTCTAACCCATGTCTCCTGCATTGGTAGGCAGATTCTTTACCACTGAGACACCAAGGAAGCCCTTGCTTTATTCTTTTTTCTCAGGAGTGCCTTGGCAATTCTGGATCTTTTATGGTTCCATATAAATTTTAGGATCATTTATTCTAGTTCTGTGAAAGATGTCTTGGGTAATTTCACAGGAATTGCCTCAAATCTGTAGGTTGCTTTATGTAGTGTGGCCATTTTAAGAATATTAATTCTTCGAGTCTTAAGAGCATGGGATATCTTTCCATTTCTTTGAATCATCTTCAGATTCCTTTATTTATGTTTTATATCAATATGTTAAATTCCTCATATAGAGTTAGAAGAAGAATCTCCAATTATAAACTGGTCATTGGAATTGGCTACACGTTTGGACAGTCGACTGTATGCACTTTGGAACCGGACTGCAGGAGACTGCTTACTTGATTCAGTACTACAAGCTACCTGGGGCATTTACGACAAGGACTCAGTGCTTCGGAAAGCCCTGCATGACAGCCTGCATGACTGTTCACATTGGTGAGCTGACATCCTTCCATTTTGAAATCCAGGAGAACACTTGCTGAAACCTGTCCTTACAGTAGTTGGATGCTTTTTGTCTGTTGTTTTTTTTTTATGGAAGCTGGGGGAGGGGGAAGCTGACATTTTAGCCCTTGAGACACTTTGAAGATTGCAGTGGTTTTTATATGTTTTGCTAAGCTTTAAGATAGAAACATTTGAATATTAAATAGAACATTAAAACATTAAAATAGAAACATGTGGTCTTATTAAATATAGGAAGGTCTTTGCTCATATATTAAAGTAGCTATTATTTCATATTTTTGTTCAACTTTAAGATATTATATTGATTATGTATTACATGTTTTTCTTCCTGTGACAAATACTCTTAAGACCACATTTTTGTAATTCTGCAAATTTTCAAATCCACAGAAAAGTTAAATCAGTCTGGTGGACCCCAGCATCTTCTTCACTGGCTTGATCAGTTGTTGATGGTTAACATTTTCCTATATGTGCTCCATCTCTATATATTAATATAGAAACAATTTGTTTTAGACACCATGATGCTTTCTCCTTCAGTGTTTTATCCTATCTCTTTTAAGAACAAGGATATTCTAGTATCCAATCACATCCTCATTACCACGTGTAAGAAAGTCAACATTGACTCAGTTATCTGATGGTTTAGTCATTTAACCTTTGTCCAGTGGAGAGAACTTTGCGCCCTTTAGTGGAGGGAAACTGCTGTGGATTGATTTGGTATTGTGGGGAATACCATTCCTTTTGTGGTGTGGATTCATCAGGCCAGGTAAGCCTGATGCCATTAAGTGTCCGTCCTGTCTTACCTCTCTGGACTGGGTGGTGTGCTCAGTAGACAACATCCTCATGCTTTGGCTGTTTATGTGGGCCTGCCCACACTGAGAGGTGATAATCAGGGTATTGTGGTTTTATAGGTCTGCCTTGTAGGTTTGATTAATGTGTGTCTGCCCTGGAAAGATGGATCTGTTCTTTGGGTGTGCTCAGTCTGGAAGCTAGATCTGGATTTTGGTAAATCTACCATTTTGCAAGTCCTTTAAAACAGGCGACCCTAGAGTCTTTCCTCTGGTGGTGATATCCTGCCTTTGTTGTACGGTTGAAAGTGTACTGTAAATTTCAGCAGTGGTAACTAATGTTAGGACTGAAATTTCAGGTTTGAGTCATTTGAAGTCTCAAAAGTTTAATGTGAAAGTAGATGAGTGCCATAAGCTTAGGTAGAAAATGGGCTTGATGGCTTGGTGGAGTGGGGAAGACCTGGGTCTTATGAGTGCGGCCATGGTAAGTGCTGTTGCAACAGACCTTTCAGGAATGGAGGCCTTAATTCTGAAAGGATATTTCAGCCAGCATATGAACAGGCTTCTGAAAATAGTGTTTCTTTTGGTACCACCTCTTCCAGTCCCTGCCATATGGGGTCTTCACCTGATGTTTTACAGTTAAGGTGTAGGAAGCCGCAAGGGTTATAGTGATCACACAGACCACTTTTTCAGTATCTTAAGGTGGAGATAGGATGGAGAGGGAATGAAGATTATCAGATTGGGGGGGGGGGACATGTTGCCATAGATTCAGAGCTTCAGTGACGTGGGTCAAATTTATTAGCCTTACTGAATAAGCATTAAAATGGTGACTATTTTGAGTTGTGACTGGTTTGTTGACTGGGGTCTTATATGGCTATTACTATTAGAAGGTAGGATGACAAGGCCAGCATGTCACTTGTGCAGTCCCCTTTTAAATCAGTTTTTTTTGCTAGGATTTCCTTTGCTCATAATCCAAATCAGGTAGGATGAGACATTCTCTTACATCATATAAAATACCTAAATGAGAATGAAGAAAGTAATTTTATTTAAACCCCTCCCCCATCAGTTCAAGATGGGCCATTTTTTTTGTAGTAGCTGTGCTTTCCTGTTGAGTGCCTGTGGTTTGAGCTGACTCAGGTGCTCAGGGTGGAACCTCGTACTTGTCTTTGATTGACGTGTCGCTCCAAATAGAGAGCCAAGTGGGAGTGATGCAAGTGGGGAAAATCAGTTACTTTAGAAATACGATCTGTAGCTTGGTATTGTGCCTCTCTATATACCAAGTTTTACACTTAATATATTGTTGCTGTTATTTTGAATAGACTAATATCTGTTAGATCAATTAAGATTAAAAAAATAAAATGTTTTAATTTTATCTTCAATTTATTTCTTGTTGCAGATCAAGACCTTTATGTAGTTCAAAATTTCTGATCTGTGTTAACTTTCCTTCTTTCTAAAGAACTTCTTTGAATATTTATGAAGCAGGTCTCTGGCAACTAATTGCCTCCATTTTTGTCTGAAAAGGGATGTATTTCTATTTTAGTTTTTTTTTTTTTTAACAGCAATGATTTTATTTATGTTTGGCTGTCCTGGGTCTGTGTAGCTACCTGCGGGCGCTCTCTGGCTGTGGCGAGAGGGGCCTCCTCCTCGCCGCAGCGCAGGAGACCCCCTCTGTGGTGACCTCTCTCGCTGTGGGGCGCAGGCTCTGGGAGCGGGGCCCCAGTGGCTGTGGCGCGCGGCTCTAGAGCACAGGCTCAGTTGCCCTGTGGCCCGTGGGACCGTCCCCGACCAGGGGTCAGACCTGTGTCTCCTGTGGTGGCAGGTGGATTCTTACCTGCTGTGTCACCAGAGCAATTCTCTCGTTTACTTTTGAAGGAAAATTTCACAGGGTGTAGAATTCTATGTTGGTGTTTTTTTTTTTCTCTCAACTTTAAAAATATTTCACTTTATTCTCTTCTTGCTTTTATCCATGGTTTCCAAGAAGTTGGTTATACTTCTTTTATTTTTCTATAGGTGGTTTTTTTTTTTTTTTTCCCACTGGTCACACCGCTTTTATTTATGTCGCATGTTACACTGTTCATTCAGCATAGAAAAATATGAATACACTCACAGTATTCTCTCTTAATTTGCTAATTCCACATGGTCAAATATTGACTGTTACTGTATTGGGTTTTCTACCCAATTAAAAAAGAGGAAGAAAGGACCTGGCAAACAACTGTCATGTTAATAACAGCAGTACCTTTCTCTTGCTCTTAAAAGACAAATTTTGAAAAGACTTCTGATTAAACCACTGCTTACTGGCTCAGGAATTCAGCTTTCTTTTAAAAATCCATTTTGCAAATAGAATCAGTGATTATTTCTTTTGGACATAATACTTCCATTAAGTGGGTCAAACTCACAAATCAATGCTACAAAATACAGTATTTTCCATCACTTTTAGTTATAATATACACTATGTACATAGTTACCTATCTTAGGGGGGAGAGGACCAGTCGCCGGCGGCAGACGCCGGCCCTCCCTATAGGTGTTTTTTATACTCTGTCTTCTTTCAGGACTTTTTTCTTTAATTTTCTGTCATTTGAATATGATATGCCTGCTGCTGCTGCTGCCAAGTCGCTTCAGTCGTGTCTGACTCTGTGCGACCCCATAGACGGCAGCCCACTGGGCTCCCCCGTCCCTGGGATTTTCCAGGCAAGAGCACTGGAGTGGGGTGCCATTGCCCTCTGATGATAGGTCTAGGTGTGGTTTTTCTGGCGATTTTCCTTCTTGGTTTTCTCTGAGCTTCCTGCATCTGTGGTGTGGTGTCTGACATTAATTTGTGACAGTCTCAGTCCCTGCTGTTCCAAGTATCTCTTCCTGCTACTTTTCCTCCCTCTTCCCTGTCTGTGACGTCATATGTTGCACCTGATGTGGTCCCACAGTTATTCTTCTGTTTTTTGGTCCGTGTTATCTTCTCTTTTTAAATTTGAAGTTTTGTATTGATGTATCTTTAAGAGGTTCTTTCTTTAGCCAAGTCCAGTCTACTAACAAAGCTGTCAAAAATACTTTCATTTCTGTTAGTGCTTCTGCTCTCTGGAATTTCATTGTGGTTCTGTCTTAGGATTTCCATCTCTCTGTCTAAATTGCCCATCTGTTCTTGCATGCTGTCTTTTTCCACTAGAGAGCCCTTAACATTTATTATACTTATTTACAGTTTTTAAATTTATTTTATTTTTTTCCATTCAAGTACTCTGTACTTTTGTTGAAAAATATTTTCATAAAATAAAGGTTTGTTTTTGGACTCTTGTTTTTTCCTCTTGATCTATATGTCTGTCTGTATGCCAGTGTTAGACTATCTTGATGATAGCTTTGTGTGGTAGGTTTTGAAATCAGGAGTATTAAGTCTTCCAACTTTATCCTTCTTTTCTTGAGATTCTTTTTGCTATTCTGAAGCCTTTGGACTTCTAGGTAAATTTTAGGTTCTAGCTTCTGCAGAAAAGCTCTCTGAGATTTTGATAGAAATTGCACTGAATGTGGAGATTAATTTGGGGAGTATTATCAAATAGATTGTTGAGTCTTATCATCCATGATCCTGAAGTTGACTTTTGAATGTTAACCTAACTTGTATTGCTGTCTCACTTAGTCTCATGTTCCTGGATTTGTGTGCATGTCTGAGCCAGGTAGATTGACAGTTTAGGTCTTTGTGTGGTGGGTATGATTTTAAAATATATTTTTGAACCCCTTTATTCTGCAGTCTTCCTTAGTTTTGAGTGAAGTCATCATTTCTGGCAAATTTAGTTGTCTAAATATTAAAATGATTTTAGGCACTAACCAAGAAATTTCTTATCACATATATCTTTCAGTTTGTAATAACTTTCTGTTTCACAATAATTCTCCTGAACTGATACCAAAACAATGTATTTTGTCATTTTGTGCATTAAAATATATGTCTATATATCTTACGTATTTTAAAAGAGGGATATCCATATTTTATTTTTAAACATTTGGCATTGAAACTTACATTCCTGACTTACACAGAAAAAAACCTGTGGTCACTGGAAATAGAAAAAAGTTTTTTTCTAATCAAGAGTTAAGCCTCTGTAACATTCTATTTTAAATCTAAAATAACATTAATTTACTTTTTTCAAAACCCTGCATTAAGTTAAAGAAACATGTGACACTAAGACATTTAATCCCTTAACTTTTCAACAATAGCAAGAGAATGTTTTCTGATCTTTTGATTCTTTCACCTAGATTTCAAGTACAAAGAAGTATTGGGGATTTATAGTTCATTACATGTGAGAGGATTGTAATGTTACAAACTGGTTAACAGTTTGTAGTCTGTTACTGGTTAATCTGTCTTCAGAGGCTTTTGCTGGCTTGTTTGTAAGACAGTGGATCATAGTTTTCAATGTAATTATATCTGGCTTTATTTAATTGTATACTTGATGTTATAAAGAAAAAGAATGTTTTGTTTTAGTAATTCAGTCTACCAGTGGTCTAGTTTGATTTTTAATCTTCATGATTTATTAGGCTGAAGTATTAAAGAGGTATTAAGCATAAAGAGGGGATTATTTTTGTAGTTGCATTTTTTTATTATGTGATATTTGAATAATTTTATGTAGTGAAATCTCAAGGAAGTGATTTTGATATTCTCATAAACATGTGGGCTGTTTCTAAGTCTGTGACCAAGTAGTGGATACTATTCATTAATGGAGTAAAGTGTCTTTGATTTTATCCGAACTCTCAGATGATTTTGAGTGTTTTTCTTTTTTATTTGTAAACCAGTAGTAGACAGTTGAAATCGGCAGTTCTTGTCATTAGTGTTTGAAGTTCTGATGAAAGTTTGGTGGGTGGTGAATCAGATTATGTCTGAAGATATGTTAAAAAATGTCTGCTAGCAGAATGGAGGCATTTTTAATTTGAAAATTTTACTTCAAGCCAGGTAAAATGAATTATTAAATCTCTGCATATGAAGTACTTGAAGACTATGTTAAATAAATGATTAGAACATTAAATGAACTGTTTATAGAAAGGCTTCTTTTTTCCTGTGTTGCTTTTTAGGTTTTACACACGTTGGAAAGATTGGGAGTCCTGGTATTCTCAGAGCTTTGGTTTACATTTTTCCTTGAGAGAAGAACAGTGGCAAGAAGACTGGGCATTTATACTGTCTCTTGCTAGTCAGGTAAGAATGCGTCTAGGCATGTTGCTTCTCTGAAGAAAGCGAGGCAGCTGCTCTGCGTGCCGTGGTTTTACAGTGAGACCACGTCAGAGCAGGGTGTACAGAGGAGAGTCGTGGACCTGGCATCAGGTGACTCGGCTTCCACTGACTGCTGTTTATTGGCTCTGTGACCATAGGCCTCACTGCCGAACAGGGAGGGCAGTATGTTTTTATATTAAGTGATTAAAAAACTGTCAAAGTGAAAGTTTTACTTGGAGATTCTAACCTCCTAGATATTTCCTCAGATTGCTCTTCAGTTATGTTGTCCTCACGGAGAGGTAGCTTTTGGGGATTGACATATACGCACTGCTACATATAAAATAGATAACTAAAGACCTACTGTATAGCACGGGGAACTCTGTAACAATCTTTATAAGAAAAGAATCTAAGAAAGAGTAGATGTATGTGTATGTATAAATGATTTCACTTTACCACAGAAACTAGCACAACATTGTAAATAAACTATACTCAAATAAAAATTTAAAAAATGGCGGCTTTATGCCTGCTTTACCCACCTGTGGTCAGCTCCCGTTCTGTGTCCAAGATCCCTCACTGATAATGGGCACTCCTGTGCTGATGGTGCGCTCTCAGGCCCCTGAGGATCAAGCTGTGGTCTTCGTAGGGCTCCTGCATTGATGCTCTGTCCACGTGAGGAAGGCCAAGGAGAAGCCTCCGTGGACAGAAGTGATTTGGAATGAACTTGTATAGATGTGTTGAGTTGTCCCTCAGACTCATGCTAGTTTTGTGAAGTGTTATTAATATACTTCCCTCATAGCTCAATTGGTAAAGAATCTGCCTGCAATGCCAGAGACCCCAATTTGGCTCCTGGGTGGGGAAGCTCCGCTGCAGAAGGGATGGGCTCCCCACTCCAGTGTTCTTCGGCTTCCCTGCTGGCTCAGCTGGTAAAGAACCTGCCTGCAGTGCGGGAGACCTGGGTTTGATCCCTGGGTGGGGAAAATCCCCTGGAGAAGGGAAAGGCTACCCACTCCAGTATTCTGGCCTAGAGAATTTGATGGACTATAGTCCATGGGGTCTCAAAGAGTTGGACACAACTGAGCAGCTTTCACTTTCATTAATATACTAAACTGTAAAGTTCTTGTATATGCACAACAAATCACTTCTTTTCTTTGCAGAAAACACCATAATTCATTAGTACCATGTGAGGGAAGTCCCTTCTGTCTTTGGGCCGTTTGGGCGGGGTTCACCCTTTGGTACATGTCTCAGACATGTACCTGCTATAAAGGTGCTGTCAGAATCCCTGCTGAGGAAAGACCAGTTGAGTATTCTTGTGTTAGGTGATGTGGCCATTTGCAAGCTGTTTGTATTCCTGTGAGACAATCAGGCTCATCTTTTCACTTCCGGAGGTCCCTGTTGTAGGTAGTACTTTCATGAGGAACTTAACCGGAAGGCAGTTATATAAATAAAACTTACTTTGCTGTCTTAATCTCTTATTCCTCAGATCAATATTTAACCAAATCTGTTCTTGAGTTTTGGATAGCAAAGGATATCTGTATATAAGCTTTGCAGATTTCTTTTATTGGACTTGCCTATTTGAGTAATCACTCTTTAGCTTGACAGTAGTATTACTGTATTTTTTTTTTTTTTAATGAATGGAGATAGTGTGCTGAAGGAGGGCAGCATTTTATACATGTCAGTTTTCCAGGGTGGTAGTGGATGTTTTAAAGAGAAATTCTTTCTTTTGTTTTGTTCTGTACAGCCTGGAGCAAGTTTGGAGCAGACTCACATTTTTGTACTTGCACATATTCTTAGACGACCAATTATAGTTTATGGAGTAAAATATTATAAAAGTTTTCGGGGAGAAACTTTAGGATATACTCGGTTTCAAGGTAAACCATTATCATTAGTATTTTGGAACTTTATTATTTTAAGGCACATTGCAGTCATATCCTGAAAATCCTGTTGTGATTTTCTTCCCTCTCTCCAGGTGTGTATTTGCCTTTGTTGTGGGAACAGAGTTTTTGTTGGAAAAGTCCGATTGCTCTGGGCTATACAAGGGGCCACTTCTCTGCTTTGGTTGCCATGGAAAATGATGGCTATGGTAACCGAGGTGCTGGTGCTAACCTGAACACCGATGATGATGTCACCATCACATTTCTGCCTCTGGTTGACAGTGAGAGGAAGTTACTCCATGTGCACTTCCTTTCTGCTCAGGAGGTAAGACACCTGTTTCTCGCATTAACTACTTAAAGTAGCAGCGCTGTGCTAGAACCCGGCCTTGTGTGTCTTTTGGGTGTGCTGTTATCTGTATTACCACTTCAGTTTTGAATTTGAATTTGGTCATCACTTTCTGTAAATACTGGTCAGACAGACTGAAATTTACCTTTTCAGAACAGCTGTGTAGGATGTGTTGTGTGAAGATAAAGCAGTGAAGATAAAAGTCCATGCCTTCAGGTAGTGATGAGTGCTGAGGAGAAGTAAAAGGATGGGGTGCAGGGTGTCCGTGACTGAACTGGCTGGGGGTGAGGTAAGATGTCACTGAGGAGGTGGCACCTGAATTGAGACTTCAAGAGAAAGGAGTCTTGCAAAAACTGGGGGAGGAGAGTTGTAGCAGAGGGATTTGAAAGGCCAGTGTGGCTTGTGGGGACTTGGGCAAAGGGGGGAGAGGAGGCTGAGGCCACGGGGCGGCTGTCAGCAGTCTCTTAAATCTGCGGCTGTCAGCAGTCTCTTAAATCTTTCTGACTTTTACTCTGGGTGCACAAAAGAGGCGCACTGGCTGCTCAGGTGAGACTAGGTACCTGGGCAGTGGTGGAAGCAGCAGGTAGGAGCTCCCTGGAGCCGCAGGGAAGTAATGTGAACCCGGCAGGGCAGTGGTGAGGTGTGAAAGAACACTCGCGGAAAACCCATTTTCTTATAAAAATTATTGGTCTTTTATTTAATATACTGGTAATTATTGTAAAACTTTTATAAGCATTACATTAAGAAAAAAATTCATAGATAATTTCTGTAACTTCACCCTATACATAACTTTCTGAGCAAACTTACCTTGTTCTTTTTGAAGCTGCAGGTTTTCTTTCTAGTGTTTTCTTTGCCAGAATCAATTTATTGGATAACACTTGCTTTATGTCGTTATATCAAACAAATGAACTTATCACTAGGCTGTTCTTCCCTCTAGGTTTGTCTGTGAATTTTCAAGTTGATATTTTTTTCCTATTTAACTGTGAGGTTTTAAACATAAAATTGATGAGGGTAGGAACCATGTCGAAACACTTCATTGCTCTGGCCCTTTCGTTGACCACAGCAGCTGTAGGTCTCTGAAATGTTTGCTGCCGGGCCTCTGACCTGCCTCCTTGTCCCCCTTTTCCTCACGGCCTCTCAAAGCTAGGCAACGAGGAGCAGCAGGAGAAGCTGCTGAGAGAGTGGCTGGACTGCTGTGTGACGGAGGGGGGCGTCCTCGTGGCCATGCAGAAGAGCTCCCGGCGGCGAAACCACCCCCTGGTCACGCAGATGGTGGAGAAGTGGCTGGACCGCTACCGGCAGATCCGGCCCTGCACGTCCCTGTCGGATGGAGAGGAGGACGAAGATGATGAAGATGAGTGAAAAAAAAAGAGACCAGAAGACCAGGGTATCCGCTCTGGGGGGACCCCACTTGAGTGTGCTGCTCCAAGCAGAGCGCATAGCGTGGAGTGAAGTGAACCTGGCAGGATCTGCTTGGAAGGGTTCCTCCTGATCCACACCCGACAGAGCCGATGTGTCTGCGGCATGAGGAGACAGAGAGCTTTGGACTACAGTTTGTAAAAAAGAAAAAAACTAATTTTATTAAGACAGAACTTTTTTCCTTTCAGATTGTAAATCTGTCTATAAATGTAACGCATGTGGTTGTGTAAGAAGTTGTGTAATAGGACAAGTTGTACCAGCATCTTCATATTATTGAGAAGTTTTTCCAGCATGGGCACCTCCAAAAGCACATGGCAGGTCACTCTTTGTTCCTTTGAGATAATTCTTTATAAAGTAGAACCTGGCATTCTACTTCCATCTTAAAAGATCCATTTTACATTCTGTCTCACTAGAGCTCCTTAGAGATTTGGAAACTTTTTGTACAAATTATCCGTAGCAAAACATAAAAATAAAAACAAGCTTTTATTTTTTATTAGTAATTTAGCTCCTGTTGTGCCCAATAAAATCTTTAAGGAACAAACTGTAAGGAAAGTCAGAATTTTTTATTGAGTGAACTTCATGTAGACATCCTTCCCTTGTTTGGAAAAGGGTTTTGGTTTCTCTTATTTTGTCTTTTTCAGTTTCTGATAAGCCGCCTTTCAGTATTTAGGTATTTATTTGTTTGGAAGAGTGCTCTTAAACTGAGGCTTCCTCCACCAGACTCTGGGCAGCAGTCTCCTTGTGAGTAGTTACCCCATGGATGTACATTAGGGCAGCAGCTGGCCCACTCGAACTGAATGAATTATGTGAAATCTGCTCACTTGCCTCTGTGGACATTAGACTCCCAAGTTGCTGTGCAGAGGGTCTTTGGATTCTTTATCATCAACTCTGCTTTAAGCAAATTGTGTTAGAAAGGCATGCCTTTGCTTGGGCTAATTGCGAATTTCCGTTCAGAATAGAATAAAGATTTTCAGAATGCAGTAAGGTGGTTAAATGCATTGTATAATGAATTTCTCAGTGAGTAGTCTGAGAATTTTTGCATGTTGGTTAATTGTGGCCATTCTTATTTAAAGTTATAACTATAATCTTAGGTAGAAAAACTTTCTATAAAAAGTATTATTTGACCACTTCAGGTATACATTCAATACTGGGTAAAAATTTCAGACCTATCTCAGGAACACAGAGAGACTTAGTGTCCTGATAAGCACTTTGTAGAGTATTGATGTGGCAAGGAATTTCAAACACACATACACACACACTCTCTTTCCCTTTGATAAAAAGGCTGTGAAAACCTTTAAATATTTGCTTCTTGTTTTCTTCTATTTAGATGGTATTGAAATGTGCACAACCTCAGATTTGATGCTGAAATACTAAAAATAGTAAAATACCTGTGAGATGTCATTTCTTTAGTTCTTTCTTCCCTCCCTGAAAGGCGTTCCCAGGATGAAAGAATTGCTGCTGCTGCATGCTAAAACATGCAGGAAAAATATTTGCATTTGGATTCCATATAAATGAATTTTGATTTAATATTGGTATGTTACTGTTTCAAGGGGCTGATGTTTTCTTACAAAATTGACATTCTGGTTTGCTTTTGTTTTGAACAGTAATTAAGCAAGGATTTAGAAGGCTGCCATTCTGACTACTTAGCATAGCATCCCTATGAACTTTTCTTCATGTATAGGGAGAATTCTGTAGTGGCCAGACAACCCATTCCAGTTGCGGTTAAGCCAGTTGAAGAAGCCAAAGAGAAAGGTCTGAGGGAGCAGCATCTGGTGGCTAGGGTCTCCAGGACAGTCAGTGCCGTGCGGGGAGCTGCAGCTTGGGCTCCGGCCTCCGTGTGCTGTGTCTGCTGAGCGATGTGTCCCCCGAGGTGCCTCTTTATTTATTTATTTATTTATAGACCAGGGACCCTGGCCACATCTAGCTTAACAGGTACAGCATTCTTCCCTGTGGGAAAGAACTATATATGTGTGTGTGTGTGTGTGTGTATATGTATGACTCCAGTTCCTAGGCTCCAGACGGGGTGGAGCTTTAAATGGTTTTCACAGCAGATTGGCTGGTAAAGGCTAACATTTTGGTGAGTCAGTGCTATGTTAAGCTCTTGAACTATCAAACAGCCATAACTATCGTCCCAAGAGAGAATTTGCAGTCCTTTCTCAGATTCCATGTGGCGGGGTGACAGATAACTCAGTGTCTTTTGGTTGACTCTGGACAGTAATATCTTAACCGTATGGACTTGACTTTACGGTTCCTCTTCTTGGGAGAATACAGTGTGGTGGTTTCTGTTCTAATTAAAAGCCATGGATTTGGACCTGCCTTTTCATGTTTTTGGCTCTTAGGCTCATCCTGTGACAGATTAGTCTGTGTTAAGGGAATACTGCTGTGCGTAGGCAGTTGGGGTCTCCTTGGTGTGCAAATGTCATCCCCGCACAGATTACCCGTTTGACAAGTGGTTATGAAGACGACAGTGAATCGCCGCTCCGCTCCCTGGAGTGATGATATAGGTCAGTGACTATGCGCTCCACCTTGATCCACGTCAGGTGGTTTTAGTGTAATTTTTCATGGGAGAGTTGGGATGGGACCACCACCTTAAAATGAGTGAGGAGGTTGATGTTTTCAGTTGCCATGACTTTTTTTTAATGGAAAGAGGCAGGGCAGTTGTAAAGGTGTTTGATATCTGGACTTGTTGGACTTAACCAGCATTTATAAAAGGGATTTAATGCTATTTGAGAAAGGAAGACTCATTAAATCAACTGAAAGTTCTTAACACATGAAAATGACTGATGTTAATTATTTTGCAACATTTCTTTGTAAATACCATTTACAAACAATTTTTTGAGATTCACCTCCCTTCCTGCATTAATGCTTGGGTCAGGTAATTTTACTTTTGGGTAAATTAAAATCAAAACTAAAACTTGACCAATTTTGTTTCTTGAATTGACTTAGTTCTAACCCACCCATTTCTTCCTAAGGACGGACATGTGTGAAGTTTTGGTTTATCACATGAAGTAATTACCAGCATTCTTGAGTCTGGTTATGAAGTAAGATAGGAAAGGATTGTTAATCTTTGAACCTGGGAATAATGAGTTGGGAAGGGGCTAATTGAGAATGCAGTTAACATCTCGAGAGAACTTTTACATTAGTGAGATGTACTTGAATTTCAAAGCTTAACAGAAATTTTTATTACTTTTTATTGAAAACTGCACTGAACGCTAAATGTCCACCTTTACAATAAACAAATACAGTAACGGTAACTCACACTAAAACAAAACATATTTCTGATAGCCATTATTTTTCTGTTTGGGACAGTTTTAAAGGTTTTTTTTTTTTTGTCACAAAAACAGGAATGTACCTATACAAAGGCTCAAAATAGGCCATCTTTTAAACAAAAAGGTGATGATTCACAAAAGACTATGAATATAACATGTAACTAGTTGATACAAATCTAATAGGATTTGTTAAAATCAGTCACATCTAATAACACACCTGAAGTGTTCTTGTATAAAATATCACGTGAAGAAAAGAAGACTTTATCAATGTCTAAAAAAGTGGGTTTGTTCATAGACAATCTGACAAGTTACCATAAAAAGTGTTTCCTGAGACATAAGGAAATGCAACATTATTCTTCTTGAACCCTTTCAGTTCAAGACTTTCCACTCAATAAAATAGCTGAGGATCTGAAACTGAGAAAATATATTTGAGTACAAACAGCTTGTGAAACTTAATACTTTTTTCTTTTTTGCATCATCAGAGGGTTTTACTGAACTCACAATCAACTTGCCCGCTCAGTATGCAGTTCAGATGGGAGAGAATTCTCTGTACAGGAGCCTGTACTGTCTTCAATCCTGTGCTTGCGGTGTCTAACACAGGCAGACAGCTTTCTCCCCATTTTGTAGTAATTTAATCTTCCTATTAGCAAAAGAGGTAACCAGCCCCGTGGACCGAAGGGACTAGAGTCATAGGGTGGGGATTTCCTCTTAATATTTTATTTTGATGTTTGGAACTCTTGATGCAACATTCTAGAGCAAGGTGTTCAGGACCTCCTGTGCCCAAGGGACTGATAAAGGAAAAAGATCTATTTATTCTTTGTGATTTGATGCACAGATGAAAAACTTAACACACAATAACAGAAGTTGGTCGTTAATAAATCACGTCCTAGTCTCTTTCAGCGCTTCCGCAAGCAGACGACAACATCTTCAGTTTTCCCACGTCTCGGCTTCTAGCTCTTTTGTAGTTGTAACACTGCAACGTCAATGATGCATATGTCCAGAATCAGTTAAAAAGACTGTCAAATTCCTTTTCTCTTAGTTCATTTATTTTTCACTGTCTCTTGGTCCCAGGTGTATCTGAATGATTACCTTTCGTCACTCGCTGCTATTGCTCGTTGGGGTGCTCTCGATTGTCCCCGTGTTTCGTGGGCTGGTTGGGAGAGGGAGCTTGGGAGGGATGTGCCACTGTGGGGAGGTTGTGGGTCACCGGGATGCCTCCGGGGATGATCCCTTCCATGGCAGCAGGAAGTCCTCCCGGAGCCACGCCCACGATGCCTGGCGGGTATCTGAGGAGCACACAAGAGAAAGGGCTGGTTAAGTTCAGGGTCAGGAACTTGCCGACCTCTCGGCTTTTTTATGGAATATATATCTATAAATACAGTAACTTCTTACCTCCAAAGTAAGGAGAAATCCACACAGATGTCAGTGTTTAAATTTCCTAATTCATACACAGTGAAACACTAATTTTGTAGCTTTTAGACGACATAACCCATACTGTTTTGGGGGAAACTGTGTTGCATTGGGCAAGCATTTTTGTACGAAACAGACTTGAGTTCTCGGGGTCTATTATTATCAGTGGATCTAATGATTTCCTAACAGCATGGGCTTCCCTTGTGGCTCAGCTGGTAGAGAATCTGCCTGCAATGTGGGAGACCTGGGTTCAATCCCTGGGTTGGGAAGATCCTCAGGAGAAGGGAAAGGCCAACCACTCCAGTGTTCTGGCCTGGAGAATTCCATGGATTGTGTATAGTCCATGGGGTCACGAGTCAGACACCACTGAGCGACTTCCACTTCACCAACAGCATGAAGTACACTTACTAGGTGTGACTTACTGGTTGGTCATGTGCTCCGGTAACTTGAGATGTGGAAGGGTAGCAGGGGAGATGGTGAGCTGGCCATGGGCTGGAGGCCTGCCCCCTGAAGATAACCTGGAGGGCAGCTGAACGTGGGTTCGTCCTATACTGCAGGCACAAGGATGGCTGTATGTGTGTACGCGGTGCACAAACGTGACTCAGTACATTCACATTTTTTGAGGACAGAATGTACTTATGAGGCAGGGGCTTTAGAATTGATCTGAGTAACCCAACCCTTCACACTTGCAGTGAAGGGGATGGTGTTTCCCTCTGGAAGCTATGCCACCCCTCTTCCTATGGCCTGTGACAGTGACTCTGGTCATGGACCACCCAAGGGGACTCTTGACAGACAGGATCCCTGTGAGCTGCAAGCCCCTCCAGCACAAGCAGTTTTCCTAGGGGCCAAGGAGCCTTGCTGTGTCCAGAGGAATGATTAGGATGTGACCCTTAAAGGGTACAGGGGAATCCAATCTGGGGCTGGGCTCAAGTGAGGCTTGAAAATGCTTATGAGGATAAAACACTAGCGGGACTTTAATAGAACCTGTGAAATGTAAATAAAGCCATGGGACCTGGGAAGAAATAGCTCCGCTTGCCCAGAGCAGGAGCTTTCCTGAGTACAGGTCCTGTTACACACACTAAATATTTAATCACATCCTGGCACAGTGGTTCAAAGTCTGGATCCTTTAAAATAGGAATTCCAATTCTAGGCTCTGCCCCAAAATTTAAATTTGCTCCACAGAAACCAGGGATGAGGGGAGGGGACGGGACCGGATTTCCGGCCAGTGCTTGGCTTTCTGCCCCCCACCCCCACCCCTGGGGAGCAGGGATCTGGCCATTCCTCTCCTCACCTGTATGTGGCACCATTGAGCTCTGGATGAATTGCTTGCTGATCTATTACTGACCAGGGAGCTGTTGTGACAAAGAATTCCTTGTTCACACAGTTTCTTAAGCTCTCTGGGATGCGACCTGGAATAAGATGATTGAAATTAATCATACAATGAAGTTTAAATATTATACTTAGCTGTTTTGGGGGAACAACTACCATGCTAGTCTCTTTACTTTTAAAAAAGACTTCTTGATGTGGACCCATTTTAAAAGTCTTGGTTACAGTACTCTGTAGGTTTTGGTTTTCTGGCCACAAGGCACATGGGACTTTTTGCTCCCGACCAGGGATCAAACCCGCACACCCTACACTGGAAGGCAAAGTCTCAACCACTAAGTCTCTTGACTCGTTAATAGGCAGGGCTGGCTCTTAAAATTTCGCAACATATGACCTGATCCAGGGTCTGAGCCACATGGGTCCCTCAGCCTAATAGAAGGGCGGCTTCCCCTCCAGGTCTGCAAAACTTCACATTGGCTAATACGAAAGGGGATTGGTTCTCTCTGAAAGAAGCATGGCCCAGTTCATTCACAGTTTTTCGACTTGACCCCTAAAAGCAAGTCCTGCCCACGGCAAGCCCTCTCACCCCTGCGTCTGGGGCCTGCTTACCCGTGATGGCCCGGCGGATCTCGGTGGCGGCTGCCTCCCGCATCTCCAGTGAGGCTTGCTCACTGTACCAGGCTGTGTGGGGGGTACAGATGAGATTCGGTGCATCTTTCAAGGGACCCTGAGCAAAGCTGGGTGAACGTACAAAACAGGGGAAATGAGACGAGTGCAATCACTCCCTGTCTGACTAGTCAAAAGGGAGCTCCTTTGGCCATGTGGGATGTTAGCTAACGCAGACAAAACAGGGATTCTGCAGTCTGTTCTAGGGGGTTGGGACTTCCAGAACACACTCATACAACTGCTTTGTAATTATACTGTCAGGAGTACTTGGGAAGAGGGAACAGTGCTATGGAGGACTGGCCGGCCTGCCTCTCACCAGGACGGTCAGGCTGTGGACGCACAGCCTGCTCTCCATCACTATTTTTCTGCCTGCCCCCTTTCTGGTGATCTTTGGGGAGAACTTCCAGCCCTTTTACCCTTAATGAGAACACAGCACAGCCCTTAGAAGCACGGAGTCCTTTAGCCTGCGGTTAAAGCCGCCTCCCCAGGACGTGTCTGGTCAGCTGCCCCAAGTTCACAGCGAGGAGTCGGGTGAGGACCTGGGTCCTACAAGTCCCTATGTGTGAATCCTGAGCTCCAGCTGCAGACATCTCCACAGTCTCCCCAAACCAACCTGAAAGGCTCCGACTCGTGCACGTCGAGGGCCGCCCCTCGTATCCTGCCTTCTTTGAGGGCTTGGGCTAAGGCTTTCTCATCCACCAGTCCTCCGCGGGCCGCGTTCACTAGGAAGGCGCCTTGCCTCATCTGGAGGGTGGGGGGGCGGGAGAGAAGCTGGTGAGCAGGTGCTGCCCCCTCAGGAGGTGCCGGTACCGAGGTTTCAGGAGGAAAGGGGGGCTACAGTGGAGGTTGGTGGGTCCAAAGACTTCCCATTTCCCCTTTCATCCTGAGAGAAGTTCTCCAGTGCCTGTCTCCATTTACCTGCTTTATGGTGAAGTCATTGATGAGGTGGTGGTTATGTTCGTTGAGATTGCAGTGCAGGGAGACGCAGTCGCTCTGGTACAGTAAGTCCTGCAGGGTATAGACCCTCTGCACGCCCAGGGACCGCTCCGTCCCATCCTGCAAGTAGGGGTCATAAAATAGGACGCTGAATCCAAAGGCCTTGGCTCGAACGGCAACCGCCTGCCCTGTGCGACCTGTGCGGAAAGAGAGCGTCCCGGTAAGTGAGGCCGGCCCCTCCTGCCACTCCTCGTCGCCAGACTGGGGGGCCTTGCGGGGTGCGCCCCACCTCTGCTGCCTGCATTATTTCTGGGACCGGGAACCTGGGGCTGGCTGTGCCTGCTGGCAGTTGGACCCAAGCAGTGGTGGCTGCTGGCGGAATCGAACACTCAAGGTTTGGTGATGCCACGCTAGCACTTCTTCCTGGGTCACTTGGGCAGAAGCCCGGCCAGCTCCCTGGGTGAGCAATGCAATGCTTACCAACTGGGCTTACTCACAGATGTTGCTTTTTTTCAAAACAGTCATTATCATGCACATTTTCAAACATAAACATAAGCAGAGCGAACAACCTAGTGGCCCCCACGTGCCTGTCTCCTGCCTCCCGACCACCAGCATCCTCTCCCCTTGTGTTTATCTTTCCCTCCTCGTTTCCTTACGCAGCAGCTTTCTTAAGCTGAGCTTCATCTCGTCATCGCTCTCAGTGTCACGCAGGGACTGTTTTATGTAATTACCACTAGGTGTGTTTGCTCATGAAGGGGGTTAAAATGAAACTGATTACTGCACTCTGGCCTGAGTACTCATCGCCATGGGGAACCAGTCTGGTGGGGCTCTGAGCTTGTGAGGAGCACGGGCCGGACCCTCTGGCAAGTCAGCGACATCACCTAACAGGACGCGAAGCCTTCCCTGACTCGCACTGACCCCCCAGGGATGGAGCTTCTTTACTTCCCAGAGCAGTTTTCAGCTTGAACACAAAATGGTGTGAATGATGCTTGAAGGGGCTGATGGTTCGGGGACAGCACAGCAGAATTCCTGGTGGGAAGACCACCGCTCCACTGTGCAGGGGGGTAAGGGGACAGGGAGGCCCCCCAGAGGGCGGTGGGCGGTGGACTGGCTCCCCCTCCAGCGGGACCGTCATCTCAAGCAGCACTGGGAACAGCGGCCGTGCTTTGGAGGCGAAGCTTTCAGAAGGCCCTTCAAGAGGGACAGCTGCAGGGGTCACCAGGATACCCCTCATGTCAGCCCTCCCCAGGGTCACCACTCCCACACGGTGAAGCAGGAGCTACAGCCACACGCGGCAGAGGAGCTGGCGTGGCAGGCCAGGAAGAACAAGGGTGGCCTAAAGACTCCCCTGAGGAACCTGATACACGGGACACCGACCCACCGCGCGGCTGCCGGGAGCTCACAGCCAACCCTGCTTCGTGGATCCTCAGCCGCCGACCCCTCCCCGCCCCGCGTCCTGACGCTTTAAGGGGAGATGGGGTCTGGGTGGCGGCTCCAGGGGCTGAGGGTCACGGCCAGCTTCACCGTTAAGTCTCACGGCTCTGCCGCTCGCAAATGCACAGACCCTCATCTTTCCACCGTGGGGTTTTCCTCACTAAACTACAATACCTGGCGATGGATTCTCTGACTGACTTGGTCAAAGCCCAGTCTCAGAGAGAGCCCAACTGTCCTGGCCTGTGTGTGCACGCGCGCACACACACACACGCGCTGTCACCGACGGCAGGCTCTCCCTCAGACGTTCACGCTCGTCCCCAACCTGGAGGCTGGCCTTGAGCACCGTCCTCAGGCCGGCCCAGGCCGGGGTCAAGCTCGGGACGGCCCGTCCAGGCCCCCACATGGCGGCATGAACTGGGTTTGGCGGCACCCGCTTCACACTCGGGGGCCTGCTGCCGCAGCGGGGCAGAGTCTTAGGCAAGTGGGTGCTTCCACCCCGGGTGGCGGGCAGCAGGGGGGCGAGGCTGCCCACGACTGAGCCCCCTCCTGTCTCAGGTCCTCCTGCAGTTCTGGGAAGCTACAGAGAGACCAGCAGAGTCAGCAGGGAGAAACAGTGTGTATGGGCCACCGTGACTGGCAGGGGCGGGGGCGCTTGGTTTACAGCCTGGAGCAGGCGGGCTGGCATCACAGGACTGGCCTTCAGAAGGCCGATGGGGAAGGATACAGCGTGAGAAACGACCCCTCTAAAAACCTGCTGTGATGCCTGGAGTCAGAAGCCATGGAAACAAGTGTTCTTCCACGTGGCCGGGCCACTCACACGGTGAGGCTCTTAATGGTGGCGAGAGCCTACCTGGGGCCCATTCGCCCGCTTGAGAACGCATGATGGTCTATGAACCAGCTCCAAGACCCACCTCCTAGAGTGGCAGGAAGCCCTGCGGCACCAGCAGAGGGTGCTGTGGCTCAGTGCCAGCATTTCTTAGTCCTTTTCTGTCTTCCACTCAAGAAAAAAAAGAAGCTGGGCTCTTGTAACAAGTTTACCTCCTCAGAGAGTGATCAATCACCCCTGACACCTGGGCTCTCAGACTCAAGACCTGGGTGTGGGAAAGATGTGCATTCCTGGAAGATGCTCCCTCTACCTGTTGAAGCTGGCACCATGGCCATCCCAGGGGCCCTGTTATTCAGCTCCAGCTCCAAGCTCAGGGCTGAGGGCCAGCTTGGGGGAACCTTCTGGAAGCCAAGCCCTGCAGTCAGGACCAACCCCACGGGCTTCTCATGCCTCCTTTGAGTTCTAAGGGGCAGCTGCTGTGTATCACTCATCCCCAATGTACAGACGGGAAGACTGAGGCAGAGAGAGGTCCAGTCCTGGAAGATCTTTGAGCTAGAGTTCTTGACCTTCCCTCCAGGGTCACAGAACGGGAAGGAGCAGGGTTGACGAGCAGCAGCAGCAAGCCAGAGCCCCCTCCTGTTTGCCTCGGGCCCCTGTGCCGCCTACAGCTGGGCAGTCCGGCAGCTCTCCACCCAGCGTGCCCCCCGCCCCTAGCTTCCCACTGGGCTAACCCGCCCCAGGCCTGCCCAGAGCGGCCACCTGGGTCTCACGGTTCCCCTGGTGAGTCTTCCAAGCTGATGATCTGACCTGGCTGGAAATCCTTCAGAGACTCCTTGCTCCCACCCCTGCCTGGCACCTCCGGGTGCCCAGCCCACTGCCTAGGTTTCCACCCGGGCACCAGCTGCCACGCGTGCCCCTGCCCTTCACATCTGCTCCCGGGGGCGGTCAGGGAGCACGGCTCCTCCTGCCGCCTCCTCCCTTTCCCCACACCCATTAGGCGCCATCTTCCAGAAGCAGCCCCCATCTTTCCTGGGAGTCAGCTCCCGAGCCAGCCTTGACCGCTGACCTCCCAGCCCAGGCAGCCACGGCCCTCCTCTGGCCCAAGACGGCCTCCCTCCTACAGCTGCGGTGAAGCCCGACTTCCAGGGCCGGGCCTCCGCCTCCCAGAGGGTCCCTGGGGCAGCCCCTCCCCAGGCGGTGGGCGGGCACACGTACCGAAGCCAATGAGGCCCAGCGTCTCCCCGCGGATGCGTGCGGCCCCCGAGGCGACCTCCCGGATCTGCTCGACGCTCTGCACCCGCGTGCCTTCCCGCAGCGCCTGGTATAGCCAGGTGTTCCGCCGGTACAGGTTAAGGATGTGGCAGATGGTCGAGTCCGCCGTCTCCTCCACCGCCGCGGACGGGATGTTGCACACGGCGATCCCTGGGAAAGAGAAGGCCGCGCGCGTGGATCAGAGCCCCGCGTTCCGTGGGGAAGCGCCAGGGCTCCCAGGCCACCCAGGGTGGTAGCGTCGGCCGGTGCAAGCCACTCAGTGCGCGTGTCGTCCCCGTGGGTCAGGGTCTCCAAGACGACACAGACCCTCTGGCTCTGAGGCCCAGGGGTCTCCAGCCGCACGGCCATCCCAGGAGGATTGCTGTCCAGGGCTTGGCTCACCGTCCCCAAGCCCTTCACTGACCCCACCTCCCGCCCACCCAGTGCTTCCAGACCCACCTCTCTGCGAAGTGAGCAGCGGGCAAGCTCTGACCACCCCCCACGTCCAGTGCCACGAAGCCAGCACTCAGGGCCCACTCCTGACAGGCTGAGGGGCCTGGAGACCCAGAGAGGTTCCTTGCCACACACGAACTCCTAGATCCTGCTCTCGAGGTGGGGCTGGGGTCATGGAGACTGGCCTTTGTTAAAAATTGTGCTCTAAGAGTTTAAAGGCACGAATGTTTTATTACTTGTTTTTTTAAAAAAGGCAAAACGGAAAGGAACACCTTCAAGGCCCATGGGCTGGGCTGGGCTGGATCTGTGGTCCAGCCCCACCTTTGTCCTGTGGACCCCAACCCCGTCCCGCTTGGGCAGAAAGACCAAGCGACAGGTGCCCACCGGCTTTTTCAAAGCGTTGCAGGGCGGAGAGCCACTCAGAAGATTGAGCCCTCGGGTCTGTGTGAGGTGCAGACGAAGGCCAGGGTCTGCCAGCACTGGGGGGCCTTCGAGGAGGCCTACCCCAGGTCTCAGGACTGACCTTCCTCACTGGCGGGAGGAGGAGACTATTTGTCAGGTGGGGGAGGGACAGCCCCTCCAGCTGCCCAGCAGGCCTGCGACGACCCCCCGACCCTGCCCCAACAAAGGCCCGAGGCAGCCTCTTAAGCAGCTTTCCAGGAGGGACGCAGGTGTCCAAACGGCCCAGCCTGGTGGCCTGGCTGCAAAGGTCCGCCTGAATCCCAGGCGCAGGAACCCGGGAAACACCAGGGCTGCAGCACCGGGACCCTGCAGCTGTCCTGCAGAGACAGGACGCGAGGCCCACTCTGCGGAGCGCCCCCTTCTGTGTCATCACCCCGAGAGGGCCGCCCTGAGCTCCAGGGTCTCTGTGACCCCCCCAGGAGGAGCTGCTTTTGCTCTTTGCTCTCACCTGCTGACCTGGGCCAGACTGGACACCAGATCAGCGAGCCTGCCATACAGGCTCAGAGGGACGGTGCGTGGTCTGGGCCCGGGCTCTCGCCAGCCGCCATCCGCCTCATCCTGCTCCTTGCCGGACTCTGGGGCGAGACGCCCGCGACCTGTCCCAGCCCTAGGGTGCGCTCGAGGGGAGCTGCCCTCCTGGGAACACACGCCAGGAACCCGGGGCATCGTCCGGAGGGGCAGACCTGGGCCACCTGCCCTTCTGTCCTCATTACAGGTCAGCTGACCGAACAAGCGGCGAAGGGCACGTGGAGACAAAAGATGGCTGGATGGAGGCCCGGGCTCCTTCTGCAGATTCCACATTTGAAAACACCCCTTTTCCAACGGCCCAGCAGATGTCCCTGAAGCCACGCTCTTATCAGATCGGAGCGGGGTCAGTGAAAAGGCCTCCAGGGACAGGCAGTTTACATCCTCCAACCCAACATCACTGGCCCCTGGCTGGCCTCTGCCGTGGGGGTGAGGTAAGGGCCACGGAGCCCCACTTGGGCGTAGCCCCTGTGACTGGCAGGCGCCTCCCCCATCCAGCCCGCCCCCACCCCAGAGGGACGGCTGGGTCCCGGCAAGGAAGCCCGATGGCACACACATGCGGGTTGCCGCGCCGCGAAGGGCCACGCCTGGAGACGGGAGGAGGGGGCGCAGGGAAGGGTGCAGAGCCCTTGGGGAGTCGGGCCCCACTTTCTCAGTCGCTGCTCAAACTTGGGATCTCAGCTCCATCCGGAGCACAAAGAACGTTTGTTTTCAAACAAAAACATTCTTCTGGCACCAGGGGAAAATGGAAAATTTTAGTTTACATTAGACATGCTTCTGGAGGCTCACGTCCTCCCCAAGCTTCTCTGTGGCGACAAAGAGGAGCTGAGAGTGACTCGGGGCGGACGTGGGAGCCCCCTTGGCCAGACCCCTGTCGTGATCTTTCTCTTGGACGGGGTCAAGTGAACCCCGGGGAAGAGGGTTGAGATGCTGGAGACTTGCCAGGGGGCACCCAGAAAAAACCAAGATCTATCTTCTGAGCCACCTGCCACGAGGCACCCCACTTGGGATGGGGGAGGGGAAGAACAGAACCTCTGGGGCAGGGACCACCTCCTGCTTTTTCCTCGGGGGTCACCTGGGCGGCAAATCCGACCTGCTGGGGCCCAAACTCCCAGACCGCCTGCCAGATCGCATAGCAGGCTGGCGCCCTCGTGAAGAATCAAATTAGACTCAGCACCACTCAGAACAGGCCCCCCTGGGGCCAGGTTTCCTGCTTCCTACTCGTGCCCATAAAACTACTCCTGCGGCTTAGGAACTGGGCGCGGCCCCGATGCACGCGGGGGAACTCACCGCTGGAACAAACCCGAGCCTGGGGCCTCATCGGGGAGCTGCAGCCCACTGGGTGCGCCCAGGTGAAGAGGCAGCAGGTGGGTGTCTGCGGGCTGCAGCCAGAACCATCAGGTCCCATGTGTGTACGTGGTCATATGCAGGTGTGACGCTGAGCTGACCGAGCCAGGCACCGCGTGTACCCTCCTGCTGGAGCAGGCAGGGGCTCAGAGGCCTGGGTTCCTGGCCACTGGGGGGGTTCCCGGCCACTGGGGGGTCCCTGCCTCAGCCTCATGGTCACAGAGCACCAGGCAGATCACAGCCTGCATACGAGGTGCCGGGCCGACATGCTTCAAGACAGCAAGGACGCTGACTTCAGAAGGGCTTGTCCAGCAGGACCTTCCCGGCTCCTCCAGAGAACCCTGGGGACGCCTGTGGTCAAAGCTTGGGCCCCTTGGTGGTGGTGGTGATGATGATGGTGGAGGTGATGGAATTGCAGCCGAGCTATTTCAAATCCTAAAAGATGACGCTGTTCAGAGTGCTGCACTCAATGTGCCAGCAAATCTGGAGACCTCAGCAGTGGCCACAGGACCTGAAAAGGTCAGTTTTCATTCCAATCCCAAAGAAGGGCAATGCTAAAGAATGTTCAAACTGGGCCCTTGAATCTCTGCCAATGCTCCAACATGCTTAGCACCCACATCAGGTGCCAGGCCACCATGCCAATGCCCTCCCTCGGGGAGTGTGCAACCAGGGGACTGGAAAGCAGCTGGGAGCCCCGCCTTCAGGTGCCCATCTGCTGGGTGGGCAGGGGGATGCTGGGCAGTGGTCCCCCTGCACTGCCCTGACCCGGGAAGGTTCCTGTGCAGATAGCCGCCCTGGGGAGATGGCTCCACCCCAGGACTGGAGGAGANCCCCGGGGAGAGGGCCCTGGTGGGGCTCTGGGGGCCTGCTGATGACTCTGAGTGATGCCAGGGAATGGGTGCAGGGGGCATGCTTAGGGAGGCGGTGTGAGGGACGGGCCAGCAGAAACCAGTGTGGAAAGAAGGGGGACCTGGCAGGGGTGTTTGCTGAGTGCCAGCTGCTGCCACCTGATCTAGGGGTGGGGGGACCCCCAGCTAGGTGGGCAGGATGGGGGGGGCCCACCTTCTCGTGGATTTCCTGGGTGGACTGTGCGTCGCAGAAGGCCACGGTGGCCAGGTCCTTCAGGATGGGCATCTCCACGGTGCAGTCTCTGCCGTCAAGCAGTGCCACCAGGGGGCGGGGGTGCAGGGGGCCGTTCATGATCTGGGGGCGGATACCTGGGGGGAGGGAGGGGACAGGGTGTGTGTGCCCAGTGGCCGGGGCTCCCCCAGCTGTGGTGGGGCACCCAGGATGGTGCTCCCACTCCAGTATCCTCGTGCCTCCCTCCTGGGAGGATTCTGGGACCAGCCCAGGAGACAGAGAAGGGACATCTGTGCAGCTTGTTTTGACAGAGAGGCTAAGATGCCCCCATAGGGGACCACATGTGGCCAACTCTACCACCATGTGGAACTGGGTCAAGTCCACACCCGCTGCTGCCACCGGGGACAGCCTGGGGGCTGCCTGGCTGACCCTAAACCTCCAAGAGCCAGAGACCTTCAGGACATCCAGGGGTCTGGCCCACGGCTCCCGAGGTAGAGCAGACTTCACTTGGCCCCTCTGCCCTTCTAAACACATGCAACATGCGCTAAAGTGAAACAAGAAGGACACGTTACAGTGCCAGCATCCTGTGGGATGAAGCTGAAGGTCCAATCCTTTGGCCACCTGATGCGAACAGCTGACTCACTGGAAAAGAGCCTGATGCTGGGAAAGACTGAAGGCAGGAGGAGAAGGGGACGACAGAGGATGAGATGGTTGGATGGCATCACTGACTTGGACATGAACCTGAACAAACTCTGGGAGACAGCGGAGGACAGAGGAGCCTGGTGTGCTGCAGTCCATGGGGTTGCAAAGAGTTGGACACAACTGAGTGACTGAACAACATCCTGTAAGTGCTTCCTGGAGGAAACCGTGGGAGACATGCAGCCTGTGCCTATAGACCCTCTCACCTGGCCCAGGTGAGGAGAGGATGCCAGTCTGAGGGGGTAGGGAAGTGTGTGTGTAGGGGGGTATGTGTGTGTGTGGGGGGCACACAAGTGGCCTGCTGGGGACTTGATGAATGAATCTTCTTAAAGGACCATAGAGCAAATCAGCTGCCTAGACCAGCCAGAGCTGTTTATATGTGCCAATGCTTCCAATGGAGACAAAGGATGCTGGACCCCGCAGCTGGCTGCACGCTGTCTAAGTCCACATTCTCCAGGGGCGCCTGCCTCCAACCCAAATGATGCAGGACTGCTCTGCCCTCCACCGTGGGGCCCCATCATCAGGGGCACACACACCAGCTCAGGGCAATTGATCCTCTATGACCAAACAGTTCCCTTCACTGGAAGGTCCTGGATTTTTGGCCTCCATGTTAAATCACCTTCTTGGGCTTCCCTGATAGCTCAGTTGGTAAAGAATCCACCTGCAATGCAGGAGACCCTGGTTCCATTCCTGGGTTGGGAAGATCCTCTAGAGGAGGGATGGGCTCCCCACTGCAGTCTTCTTGGGCTTCCCTGGCGGCTCAGCTGGTAAAGGATCTGCCCACAATGCGGGACACCTGAGTTCGATCCCTGGGTTGGGAAGATCCCCTGGAGAAGAGAAAGGTACCCACTCCTGTGTTCTGGCCTGGAGAATTCCATGGACTGTATAGTCCATGGGGTTGGAGACAGTTGGACATGACTGAGCAACCTTCACTATGTTAAATCACCATGACTCATCCCTGGGCTTCAGGAGGAACTGCAGCACCAGGTGGCCAGGCACTCCTGTTTTCTTCCCAAATTTTGTGTGTGTGTGTGTGTGTGTGTGTGTGTGTGTGTGTGTGTTGGGGGGCACAGGTGGCCTCTGTGTGTGTGTGTGTGTGTGTGTGTGTGTGTGCTGGGGGGCGCAGGTGGCCTGCCAGGGACTTGATGAATGCATCTTCTCAAAGGACCACAGTGCAAGTCAGCTGGTGTCACAGATTACAAGTCACAAAACAGCTTTCCACACATCTGAGGTTCTCAGATGTTCAGATAAACTGACGATGGCCACAGCACCAGGGCCAGGCTGAGCACAGAGTTCAGCACCGGGCTTGCTCAGGCTCCCGAAGGCCGAAGCAGGAGCCACTGACGTGCTCACCCACGGGGCCTCAGCCTCCCGGCAGCCATGAGACGGCCACGGGTGGGGCCCCTCCTCGGCCACCAGGGCTCAGGATCCGGCCGGCCACGCGCCCCTCAGCAATGCGCAGGGTGGGGGAGGGCAGCACCCCAGTGCCCGAACGACCTGGACGTGTCCCGGATGGCGCTCCCACGCCACAGCTGCAGCCTCGGGGGACAATCGTCTCTTTGAACTCGACCAGACAAAAGCCTTTTGTTCTGGCCTGGGGAGAACAAGCCGGGGTGGCCAGGGGCAGCGGGCCACCTCTGGGCAGTGCCGGGCTGGCGCTCACGAATGATCAAGGTCCCTCCTGGCCCACAAGTGGCAGCCAGACCCCTACCGCCTCCTGGGGACATGGACCCCTGAAGTGGGGTGGCCAAGTGAAGCTGAGCTCCCGAGTGGGGACAGGGTCCCCAGCTCTCAACCTGCAGCACTGAGGCCGGCCGCCTGTTGGGGGGTGTCGGCGCACGTTCCACGAACTTTGCCCAACAGAAAGGTCCGTGAGAGCTGAGGTGCTGTGTGCAGATGGGGAGAACACACCCCGAAGACCAAGAGTGACATCTGCAGACAGGACTCCCGGACACCCCACAGAGGGAGAAGTGGGGGGCAGGGATGTCACCGGGTGCCCCACACCCTCTCCTTTCATCCTTGAGACGGCACCTGTCTCCTGTCTGCAGACCAGGAAAAAGAGCAAGGTGCAAGCTGCTGAAAGCGGGGGGCGGCCGGTGCCAACACGGGGTCCACACCCACCGTAAGAGGTGAGACGGAGAGACAAGCAAGCCCGAAAGGACTCATTCTCTTCCTCCAGCTTCTCCCTGCCCCCAACACCTCCTACGAAGCCCAAGGCTGGGCTCCTGGAGGACCTCGTGGGCAAACGTGCTCACTTGGCCCAGGCTGTTCCCTTGTGTGTGTGTGTGTGTGTGTGTGTGTGTGTGTGTGTGTGTTGGGGGGCACAGGTGGCCTCTGTGTGTGTGTGTGTGTGTGTGTGTGTGTGTGCTGGGGGGCGCAGGTGGCCTGCCAGGGACTTGATGAATGCATCTTCTCAAAGGACCACAGTGCAAGTCAGCTGGTGTCACAGATTACAAGTCACAAAACAGCTTTCCACACATCTGAGGTTCTCAGATGTTCAGATAAACTGACGATGGCCACAGCACCAGGGCCAGGCTGAGCACAGAGTTCAGCACCGGGCTTGCTCAGGCTCCCGAAGGCCGAAGCAGGAGCCACTGACGTGCTCACCCACGGGGCCTCAGCCTCCCGGCAGCCATGAGACGGCCACGGGTGGGGCCCCTCCTCGGCCACCAGGGCTCAGGATCCGGCCGGCCACGCGCCCCTCAGCAATGCGCAGGGTGGGGGAGGGCAGCACCCCAGTGCCCGAACGACCTGGACGTGTCCCGGATGGCGCTCCCACGCCACAGCTGCAGCCTCGGGGGACAATCGTCTCTTTGAACTCGACCAGACAAAAGCCTTTTGTTCTGGCCTGGGGAGAACAAGCCGGGGTGGCCAGGGGCAGCGGGCCACCTCTGGGCAGTGCCGGGCTGGCGCTCAAGAATGATCAAGGTCCCTCCCGGCCCACAAGTGGCAGCCAGACCCCTACCGCCTCCTGGGGACATGGACCCCTGAAGTGGGGCGGCCAAGTGAAGCTGAGCTCCCGAGTGGGGACAGGGTCCCCAGCTCTCAACCTGCAGCACTGAGGCCGGCCGCCTATTGGGGGGGGTCGGCGCACGTCCCACGAACTTTGCCCAACAGAAAGGTCCGTGAGAGCTGAGGTGCTGTGTGCAGATGGGGAGAACACACCCCGAAGACCAAGAGTGACATCTGCAGACAGGACTCCCGGACACCCCACAGAGGGAGAAGTGGGGGGCAGGGATGTCACCGGGTGCCCCACACCCTCTCCTTTCATCCTTGAGACGGCACCTGTCTCCTGTCTGCAGACCAGGAAAAAGAGCAAGGTGCAAGCTGCTGAAAGCGGGGGGCGGCCGGTGCCAACACGGGGTCCACACCCACCCTAAAAGGTGAGACGGAGAGACAAGCAAGCCCGAAAGGACTCATTCTCTTCCTCCAGCTTCTCCCTGCCCCCAACACCTCCTACGAAGCCCAAGGCTGGGCTCCTGGAGGACCTCGTGGGCAAACGTGCTCACTTGGCCCAGGCTGTTCCCCCCCACTGGGTGAAGAAACACCCCAACTTCACTCCGCGGGGGAGGGGGGGTGCTGTCAGGAGGGTTAACCAGACAACATTTGTAAAGTTCACGATCATTACTAGAGATCCAAGCGGTTAATTAAAAAGTCATCACATGGGAAAACGACAGTGGGCACCAGGCAGGCATCTGGAGAGGCTGAGGGGCCATTGCCGCAACGTGTCCATCCGCAGCATCAGTGCATGCATCCCGTTACCTGGGAAACAAACTCCGGGTTGCCTAGCGATTGCCTCCCTCCCTGACTTGGGTTGTCTTTCTCTTTGGCGAAACCCACCCTTTGCCCTCGTTCAGGCTGGGCATGCAGAACGCACAAGACCCATGGGCTTCCTGAAGCCTGAAGCTCGGATACCAGCTTCAAGCTCTCTATGGTAAGGCAAGAGTCAGAGATGCAAGGGGGACCACAAGGCTCAGGTGCAAAGTCTGGGGAAGGATGGGGGGGGGGGGGGGGGGGGGGGGGGGGGCTGGCTGGCAGGTGGGAGTGGGCGAGATTCACAGGTGTTCTGGATGAAATGCAGGGACCACAGTGCAGAGCCAAGCTCTAAGGGGGCCACATGAGGCCCCCAGCACTGAGGACAAGACGGCTTATCCAGGTCACTGCCAAGGTCGGCTTCTACAAAGGGGCCGCGCTAGATAGACAATGCTCCTTCAGTTCCAGATGGGACTCATCAAGCCGCATGACTCAGAATCCAGTTAATTTCAAGCCACTGTGCCCAGAACCCACTGTCCCTACAGTCTTGCTGAGGTACCCAAGAAGAACCCAAGAAATGCCAGGAAGATGAAGTTGCAATTAGACTTTACATCTCACCTCACATTAACAGAGACATTTCTCCAGTGCTTCTGGCAACCTGAAACATTTTTAACTGTATGAAATT